AGTAAACCAAATTCAGCAGCACATTAAATGGGTCATTAACCAAGATCCACTGTGACTTATCCCTGGGATGGAAGGATGATTCAACATATGCAAATCAGTTAAAGTGGTACATCACATTAATATCATGAAAGAAATATATCATATGATTATCTCAATAGATACAGAAAAAGTTGTTAACATTTAACATCTATTCATGATAAAAACTACTAACAAGTTTGGCATAGAAGGAACATATCTCAACATGATAAACCCCATATATGAAAAGCCCTCAGCTAACATTATACTCAGTGGTGAAAGATTTTCTTCTAAGATCAGGAAGAAGACCAGGGTGACCACTCTTGCCACTTCTATTCAATATAGTATTGAAAGTCCTAGCTAGAGCAGTCAGGCAAGAAAAAGAAAGAAAAAGTTTCAGAATTGGGGGAAAAAAAGGAATAAAATTGTCTCTATTTGCAGATGACATATATATATATATGTATATATATATATGACATGTATATATATAAGTATATAACATATTTATATAATATATATAAACATATATTTTTATATATATATATAATGTGTGAATCTTTCTCCATCTTGCTTGCTCTTTTCTCTTAACCTGACTAGTTAGGCTAACTGATTCTGCCCTTTGTGTGACCCTGTTCCCCAGATTTCAAGTTAGGCCACTTGCAGGTTTTAGGAGCTTACCCTCTGAGCATTTCTTTTTCTTTTCTTTTCTTTCTTTCTTTTTTTTTTTTTTGTATGATGCAGCCACTAAACTCAAGCTAGCTACTTCATAGCCTGACTATATAGGCTAACCCAATAGATCTTATCAATAAATTCAGTAAATTTGCAGAATATGAAATTAACATACAAAAACCAGTAGCATTTCTATACTCTGAAAAAAATTTAAAAATTGATCCCATTTATCATAACATCAAAAACAATAAAGTACTTAGAAATAAATTTAACTGAGGAGGTAAAAGATCTTTATGTTGAAAATGGTAAGAAATTGGTCAAAGAAACAGAAGAAAACAAATAAATGGAAAAGTATCTTGTGTGCATGGACTGGAAGGGTTAATATTGTTAAAACATCAATACTACAAAAAGTCATCTATAGATTCAGTACAATCGCTACCAAGTTTCCAAC